CCTACGGCTGAAAGGGCGAGCATCTTTGGTGTAACGGGGATTCGAATCCGCGACCCTCAGATTGTGAGTCGAGCGTCTTATCCACCTGGCAATGCCGGGCCAAAAAAAGTAAAGGCGAGTAATTAACAGCTTTTCGTATATTTTATCAGATGCATGAGAAGTATTCCACGAACGTATGAATATATATATGCATATAACTTTTTCATATTATTTTATAAACATGATTTCTCTATGTTAATTCCAAAGTATAAGAATTTTTTATTAGATATTCCTAGCATTTCCTCCTCCCCCCCCCCCATCACATTTGGCGCTATAGAATATATATATATATTTCTCTACTCATGGAAGTTGTCAATTGATTTTGAGAGTTACAGTTCCTAGAAAGTAGATCTCCTATCAAATGTTTTTCTCTTCTAAAAGCGCCATGTTTTGGCTGTGTTCATCCGTGATTTTTCCGCGTATAATAATGTAAATAGTAGAAATTTAAACCAGAGTCCAGAACAACAACATTAATTTCGCAAAACTATCATCTCCGCAACAATTTAACTCAATCTCTGTAACTTACTTTTGAATAAAAGTAAAGTTCTCTTAAATACATAAAATACCTAATCCATCTCAAGATTTAAACAAACTTTTGCACTCTGTAAACTTTTAATCTACATAATCTTTTACGATCTTTCTTTTTTCTGTTTATAATAAAATAGTTCCTTTCTATGGAATATCGCAGTGACCAGACATCCCTGATACTTATCCCCTGGTGATTTGCTAAAATAGATCATTGGGTCAGTATCGAAAGGAAAAGTATCCGCAAATCATTCAATTCTACAAAATAGTATTTTAGCTGTTAACTATTGGGCTTACAAACCTGAAAAGAAGCCCTTTAATTATGCAATATAGACACAATTAACACTCTATCTGTTATCTTTCAATATTCAATGAAGAGAACTGTAAAAATATTTGTATATTTATTAGAGTTCTATAACTGAAAAAAGTATTCTAAGAAAGTCCATGACAACGGCTAATAAATTCTATTTGTCATTCTGTCTAACTAGTGGTATTTATTTTAAAGTAAAGCCTTGTATTTAAACGTTCCCACATTAAACAGAGGCTGCTCACCAGCCAATAGTAAAGGATTTTTTTTATATAAACATCGCTTTAATATATAGAAGGAATGGTTATATATATATAATGACTTGTTACAGGTGAAATAAAAGAGTCAAAATATGGTGTGAAGTCAAGGTAAAAATACCGCCCCATTTATTGGAGAACAAATTGGAAAATGGCCGATCGGATATTCGTGGACTTTTATGTTATAATGTTTATTAATACTAATTGATCAGTTTATTAAACTGTAGGTAAATGAAAGAAAATTTATTCAAATAAAAGGAAATGAGAAAAAACTCTAGTTAAGGACAAACTAAGGAAAAATGAAGCACACAGACTGAAGAATAAGCGAAACAAAGACGAGACTTCCACAAAGGTTAGCGACTCCTCTAAACTAGCCACAAATGTATTCGAAATACATCAAAATAACGTTCACATTCATTCTTTACCTGATCAATCAGAAAATTGGATCAAGAGAATCCGGAAAAATTTCTGCTCAGTACACATTCATAGGAAAAAACCTATATCCACAAGGTAAAGCACGATTCATATAATTATCCCATGAAACAGTAAATAATTTCCATGATTGGACACTGCTAGAAACGTATCACCTACGGCCGACTTCAGACGTTCTAAACCATAACTTAGAAAAAAAATTTGTAGATAAAATATATATTGTGGAAGAGAGGAATGTGAGTGGCATTTGCATGTCACATTGACTTAATATTGTGTTATAAAACCCTATTTTGCAGCATTTAGAATATATTTCAGTCTACAGAAGAACACTGTTTTAGATCAAATAAAACTTTTTCCAAGAAAGAAAGGTTGTTGTCTTAGTGCAAAGCTTTGCAAGTCCGTAAACTTACCGATGGCTCATTGTGGGACGTAGAAAAAAAGCAAGTGTTTGAATCAACAATATTATACTGATTGAATATGTGAAATTTCTGAGTTGTATAACATAATAATTTGCAAAATTTATACATTCTTATAAAGTTAAGTAATTTTCATTTTGTTATCGTTATAGGAATATTGTAGTATTTTAGCGAGTAATTGGATAATGGGATAGGTTGGGATTCTTCTACAGTAGGTGTCTGTGACTTGTTGGCGATAAATTTGGACAATAAATAGACAGCACGTTTTCCACTTGTTTTAAAATATATAATCAAAACAAGCCAAAGTATGTACAAAAATTATTTACCCTACAGAAAATTACAGTTTTATCTAAAACTAAATAATTCTCTTTTCTTGTCGAAAGTCCACATAGGCTGATTCAAATACTTTAGAATCCAATTTACAAGACGAATTATTTTTCTCTAATCTTATCACAATAGTATCAGTGAATAATTCACTTACGTTACCTCGTGATTTATCACAGTTGTATCTCGAACCTTAAATAAT